TAAGAAAGGTTAAAAACGGGTGCTTCAGAAAGATGATACTAGGATTTTATTCAAGAAGCTTTTTCCATCAGGGCATCAAATCAAGACTGGATCCTGTAACTTCAGCCCCACATCCTTGAGATGATTTGGGTCATGCTTTCAAGGAAATGACTCACGTGGTCCAATCACTGAGAAGTGCCCCCAAAAGTAGTCAGTCCAATTACAAAAACTCATTTCAAAACAATATGACTGGGTTTCTCAAACACTGTGCAGTGAGGTACGTAAGTTGTAGATGCAGATTTTTTAAATCCTTTTTTTTTTTCCCCACTCATTTCCTTCAGCTATCTCTTCTCACCTTGCCTCCCCCATGCCCCACTCTCCCCTGCCCAGGGCAGGTCCTTTACTCTTTTGACCTTCAGCCATCTCCATTATGTTTTGTTTTTTTTTTTCAAATTCATTTTTTTGAGACAGGATCTTGCTAAGTTGCCCAGGTTGCTCTCAAACTCCTGGCCTCAAGCAAGCCTTTTACCTCAGCCTCCCGAGGAGCTGGAATTACAGGCGCCAGCCATAGCACTCAACTCTTCTCCATTATAAAATCCCTCCCAAAACATACTGGGCAAGGCAGAACCCTCTCTGGAGTGTGAAGTGGAAGAGATTGAGATTGAGGGACTCATACCTGCACCATGGTAGGAGGGGCAAGCATGGGAAGACTCACATGGCAATAATACTTATGGCACTATACCCTGCTGTCCCAAACACTACCACGCCTGTCCTACTTAGTTGTTGTGTACTAGGTGTCTGACCTTGGGAATGTTATTTCACATTCCTGTGCTTCCGTTTCTTCTCTGAACAATTAATAATAACTGAATCCATATAGGAGGGTCAAGGTGAGGTTTATATGGGTTAACACACATGGGAAGCCCTCAGAAGAGCATACTAATTATTAAGCAATGTCATCATCTCTGGTTTTCCGCCTACAGGTAGACACCTTAGGCCAGTTGTTCCACTCTGTACATTTGTAGTGGGAGGCTCAGAAAAGTGTAGGCCAGAGTATCTGGTAAACGCTTCATAGAGCAGACCTCTAACTAATCCCTCTGATTTCACCCTACTCCTTTCCCTCCCTACTGTCTTTCCTGCCAACTCCAAGCCTGGCATTTCTTTGACACTTACCAAGATGCCCAGGTGTTACTTCCCCAGCAAACTTGAGTTTGTTCAGAGTGGCAGTTCCTCTGGTCTGTTCACAATATCAACCATTTTTCATCTTCCAGAAATTTAACAAAATCTCTAGTCAGCTAATGGATCCCTCTCTTGTTATTGATTCATTTCCTCTGGTACTGGTTTACTATTCTACACTTTTTTCTAGATTGGTCAGAAGGGATGTATTTAGTAGAGTCTACTCTAACATCTTGAAACCCTAAAATACAGATAATGTTTCTTGTGAGCCTTAGGATTACTTATGCTCTTGACAGAGTCTATATTCACTTACTTGTTTCTGACTTAAGAAAAATTATTTAATTTTTTAATTAAATAAAAAATTATATCAATCAGAGAATGTTGAAGAAAAAGGGATCATTTGCAATTGTTTTCTAGGTGAAGCTATCGAGACGGGCAGGAAGCTGACCTGCCTGAGCCTGCGCAGCTCGCAGGACCAAAGCTGGAATGAGACTCCCACGTGCCTTTTCAGGTGTGCCTAGAAAAACAAAGCAAGTTGGTAGGGCCCGGTGGCTCAAGCCTTTAATCCCAGCACTTTGGGAGGCCGAAGCGAGAGGATTGCCTGAGCCCGTGGGTTCCAGACCAGCCTGGACAACTTGTGGAGACCTTATCTCTACAATAAATACAAAAACTAGCCTGACGTGATGACCTGCATCTGTAGTTTCGGCTACTTGGAAGGCTGAGGCAGTAGGATATCGCCGGAGCCCAGGAGGTCAACGATGGGGTGGCCGTGAGGGTGTCACTGCACTCCAGCCTGGGAGACAGAGTGAGACTGTGACTCAAAATAAATAAATAAATAAAAGGAAAAGAAAAACAAAGCAAGTCAACTCAGCATTCATGTGTTATATTAACAGGAATGTCTTTCAGCGGGAGTTTGTAGCAAAAAAACACAACAAAATCCTTAATTCTTATGAGTATGTTCTTCCATTGTTTTTGTTTCCCTAAAAATGGAAAGCCTATTGAACTTCATTGTCAGTCCTACAGTGCATGGCTTTGAAGCTAAAAGTTATTACACTCCACAGCTACTGTGTGTGATGAGTAAAAGATCTTCACAGATTACTTCTTTGTTACATTCAACAGTAAGTGGTACTTGGTACATCTGGCTACTTAAGACTGTGAGCGTGACATAATTGCTTAGAAGCCCAGAACTGCTTATTTAAAGGGTGGGGATTCTTAATGGAATTACAGAGGCAAAAACCACCTCAGCTTTACCATGGGAAATGTCATGCAAAGCATTGTTAGTTTCTAGGTGGTTTCTCAGTCCAGTTTGTTACTTGTCAGAATTCTCTGGAATTTTTCTTCTGTTTATGACATAAAGGAACCTGTCCTGATGAATCTAAACCAACAAGGGATGAAGGATCTCGGCCAAGGCATGTGGATTGCCTGAGCCCACGGATTCGAGACAAGCCCAGGCAACTTGGCGAGACCTCATCTCTACAATAAATACAAAACTTAGCCGGGCGTGGTAGCATGTGCCTATAGTTCCAGCTACTTGGAAGGCTGAGGTAGAAGGATCACCTGAGCCTAGCAGGTCGAGGCTATGGTGGCCGCAAGCATGCCACTGCACTCCGCCCTGGGCGACAGAGTGAGACTCCAACTCAAAAAAAAAAAAAAAAAAAAGGACGGAGGATCTGTATACTGGAACAAGTCTGAAAGAGGCCGGACATTTCAGCCAAAGAAATGGACATAGTGTATCTTTGTCACAAATATTTAAGCTTGAAATGCTTCTGTTAGATTAGCTCACTGGTCTCAGGAAGTTGCATTTTTTCCTAAATATAGTGCATTATAGATGGAAAAGGGAGAAAAATAAAGTTGGATGGGAAATAATTCAAAGACAAAAGCGCATGTTTTAGAGAAGTTTGTAATCTGAGTCATCTTCACGTATAACAGGAGACCAAGTTTCTTAATCTCTAGATATCCATTATCTTCTTGAATTAGCTGTGCTGTTAATTTAAAAGTCAGTATTCTTCACATTGTTAATTACCACTTCAAATTCTCTACCGGTCACAGAGTAGTTTTTTTTTTTTAATTTTTGATTTTGGTATAATCATCCAGACTATATTCCTTTATATTTATGAGAAACATTCACCTCGTGTTTTTAAAAGCATAGAGGAAACACACACTGCCCAAGGACCAACTGGCCAACAGAAGCACTGAGGAAACACATCTCTATCCTCTCACCCAGCCACTCTGCGCCTTTCTTCACGTTTACATACACTGTAGCAAAACTAACCTACAACCAATGGTGAAAAAGAACAACTATCAAATGGGAAAGTGGACACGGGGAAAGAAATGGAGACCACTACCCCCACTACCTAAATGGAAGAGGACCCCATGGCAAGGAGGCTGTGCAATAGGAGATGAGAGAAGAAACTTCAATTATACCACACAATCGTCCCCTGGGTGTCTGAACCTACCAGAAATCTCTCAGTCCACTTCTTTCGGTTGGCAGCACTGCAGAGATATTGTTTAATATCTGTGTACAGGGTATTGTTCATTGAGGAAAAAGCTTAGGTAGTAGACTATTAAGAGTACATTAATGTTCATAAAAAACAGGTCTGGGACAGTTAAAATGAACAAGACCCTTAAAACTGAGAAAGCACAACATTTCATTTTAGCCAATGTTCTTATTACCCATCAGGGCATTTTTAAAAATTCCTTTCTCCAGATTTGTAAGGCAAAAAAAATTACAAACTAGAAATAAGATTAGAAACCTGGTTTATTGAGAAAAATTCATAACGAAAGCTTCAGTTGCTTATTCTGCAACTTACAAAATAGCAAGTTGATATATAAAATGAGTTGGTTTTCATTATGTAAGTATAAACAATAAAAAACAATAATCCATTTGATATATCATAGGTATGCTATCCAAAGAAATTTATAACCCTGAATTCTCCAGTTGCCTGTTTTACATCAGACATTTTACATCTGTTTACCAAGGAAGACCAGGCTTTTAACCACATGTAGGTTTCTGCTTACAGGTGCAATCTAACAGAAGTCGTGTCTATATCATTAGATCCCAGTTAATCTTGAGATGAAAAACAGAAGCAAGTCATTTCTTCTCCTTAAGCTTAATGGCACTTTGGTGATAGAAATGACCCTCCTGATGCTCTCACAACTTAATTAGATCTATCAGTCATGATAAATTAGACTCAGACTGTCTAATTTCAGTTCAGTCTACTCTGGTTCTGAACATATAGACATGAAAGAGTACAGATCTATTAATACAGCATTTTCCCATACCCTAACCCTATAAAGAATTTTAATAGAGAAAATTTCATCTAAACATTTTGCTACTTAAGGTCTTACTACTGCAACAGGTTTTGGCCACGAAGCAATACGTTCCTAGATGACGTATCAAGCCAACGTGAAGCTTAGCAAAAAAGTAATTATTCGGGACATTAATTAGAAGTTTTCACAAACAATATGCATTTAAGAAACTACTTTGCTTCTTTACATAGTTGAAGGCTTGAAAAGATAAGGTTTCTTTTGCATTTCTTTTAGAATGTTTGATCTGACAATTTCTTTTTTGTTTGTTTTTTTGGGTTTTTTTGAGTCGGAGTTTCACTCTGTCGCCCAGACTGGAGTGCAGTGGCCGCTTCCGGCCACTGCAGCCTTGCCTGCTGGGCTCCGGCGATCCTTCCGCCTCAGCCTTCCGAGTAGCCAGAATTACGGGCATGTGCTACCACACCCGGCTGATTTTTTTTTTTTTTTTTTTTTGATTTATTGTAGAGATGAGGTCTCACTGCCCAGGCGGGTCTTGAACCCACGGGTTCAGGCAATCCACTCACCTCAGCCTCCCGAAGGCGTGGGATTACAGGCTGAGCCACCGAGCCCAGCTGATCTGACAATTTCTACCAATCAATATCTCCCTCTTCTCCTTAGCCCTTCATAGACTCAGGCCGTTCTATCTGGAAATAACAAAAACTTAATCCAGTTGTTAAATCTTGGAAGTATTCTCATTTTTACCGTAAAAAAGTGTTAAGTTGCATGTTCATATTCTCTTATAAATATAGTATGAATATTATGGACTGATATAAGGAAATAGTGGCATAGTACAAGTCGTTAGTGAAAAGAAACAAGTCTTACTTAACTCCACAAAACATACATAAAAGATGAATATGAAACTGTAACACATGTAAGAAACATTTTCTACCAAATGATTTTAGCATTTTGGACTAATTTCGTAAGAAAAACAGTGGCGCAAAATAGGTTCCAAGTTTCTTCCTCTGAAATCCATCTGGGCAGCAGGGATTTTCTTCTGCTCTCATCTCCCCCGCCTTAGGCGGAGCTGTAGAAATACCTGGGCTTGGCATTGCCCAGAAGGTCATCTTCGTAGTTGGGGAGGCAGCAGAAGAAGAAGGCACAGCCAATCAGGATAATCGTGGCCGCCCACCCGAAGCCATAGGCCCAGTTATAGATGTAAGTGACAGCAGGGTTGGCATGAAGGTTGAAGGTCTGTGTGTACTTCACCGGGTAGATGACCAGGGAGATGATCTGAAACACAGCTAAAGGGAAGGAAAAAAAATCCCAGAGTATGAATGCATGCACACAGGAAAGAATGAATGCAACTCTTTCTCCCTCAAAGTTTCTGCCTTTAAATAAGTGTTAAATCCATCTAAAATGTGCTAAAGCGGCGGGAGGAATCTAGTTAAGCACAGGCCAAAAGCATTCTTGACTGGTGTGTGTGTGTATGTAAGAGATCCCCGGCACTGAGCAGTATCATACACATATACCCAATATGTGAAACACAGACAGAAAACAGAATCACTCTATATGGTACATGTTTAAGCATTACATAGCCTAAAGTAAAAAGGGCAAAACTGTGGTGTACACTAGAAAGTCGGACAGTAAAGGACAGCTTATTCTTTCATTTTTGTATTTCCTGCGCCAAACATAAAGTGAATATGTTCAGTCATTCAATAAGTGAATAACTAAATGAAACAATGAACCAATATTAGGAATGATCAATGCGAAGAATCCCAGAAAAGCCTGCAGCGATGGGAATCTGAAGGGCGAACAGACATGGAAAGAGAGAGGGCAGGTGGAAGGGCATTCCGGGAGGAACAGAAAGAATAAAAGAGAATGGTCACAGCGTTTAAGGATATGGAAAGAAAAACGTATGTGAGGATTTCTAAGCTCTCTGGTATGAGTCACATTATTACAATTATTATTAATCATTGTCATAGCATTTTGTTTTATTTTTTGAGTTGGAGTCTCACTCTGTCACCCAGGCTGGAGGGCAGTGGCACGCTCCCGGCCACCACAGCCTTGACCTGCTGGGCTCCTGTGATCCTTCCACCTCAGCCTTCCAAATAGCTGGAACTACAGGCATGCGTGACCACATCCAGCTAATTCTTTTTTTTTTTTAATTGTAGAGACGAGGTCTTGCCAAGTTGCCCGGGTGGGTCTCGAACCTGTGGGCTCGGGCAATCCTCTCTCCTCGGCCTCCCAAAGTGCTGGGATTACAGGCTGAGCCACCGAGTCCAGTCTGTCATAGTATTTTAAGCTACTTTAAAATAAGATGCACTTTACTGAATCTACCTCATAGTCTTTTTAGTGAGCATGCAGACATTTATAAAGCTCTAATGAGCATACATACGTTGTGTTCTGCTTCTCTGATGACTTAAACCTGCATAGGTACATTGCCATGTCAAAGGGTATGAACAGATTTAAGCTCTTTTAACATTAGATACCACCCACTGTGAGGGGAATCAAGCTGGCTGTTCTCCCAGGAATGTATCAGGGAATCTATAATCCTCACCACCATTTTTTCTATCACCTTATTTTTCTTCTGCAAGCTACCCAGATACATCCTAAGGTATTTTTCTTTTTTCTTTTCTTTTCTTTTTTTTTAGAGTCGGAGTCTCACTCTGTTACCCAGACTGGAGTGCAGTAACACATACACAGTCACTGCTGCCTCGACCTGCTGGGCTCAGGTGATCCACCTCAGTCTTCCAAGTAGCAGGAACTACAGGTGTGTGCCACCACACCCGGCTAATATTTTTGATTTATTGCAGAGATGAGGTCTTGCCAAGTTGCCCAGGCTAGTCCCAAAACTGGGCTCAAGCAATCCTCTCGCCTCCGCCTCCCAAAGTGCTGTGATTACAGGCATAACCTACCACGCCCAGCTGAAGAGCAACCTTAATGCAGATCTTAGATAAATTATTTCTCTACTTCTTGTACATTTTAAAGAGTAAACTCTTACCAGTTATGCTTATCATTTACTGCCAAATATTGTGTAAGACACAAAAGTAATCCTTCTCTAAGCTAATTTTAAACTTTGCTAGTTATATCAAACACTGTTATTGATCCACTTTGCCTCATCACACATGAAGTTCTTATAATGGCTTGGATGATTTTCTCAAAACTTAAATTGTATTAGGGAGGGAGACAGAGCCGAAGGATGAAAAAGTCACCTATTGGTTACAATGTACACAGGTGGGGGTGGTGGGTATACTTAAAGCCCAGACTTCTTTGCCACTATACAATACAACCATGTAACCAAAAACTATTTGTACCCCCTAAAGCTACTGTAAAGGGAAAAAAAATCAGCATTCAATTTTAACCCAATAAAATGTATAAAATTAAAAATAATTAAGGCTGTGAAATATATTTTAAAAGCCAAATAGAACTGGGCGCAGTGGCTCACGTCTGTAATCCTAGCACTTTGGGAGGTGGGGGCGAGAAGATTGCCTGAGTCCAGGGGTCCTAGACCAACCTAGGCAATTTAGTGAGATCTCGTCTCTACAATAAATCAAAAAATTAGCCAGGTATGGTGATGCACGCCTGTGGTTCCAGCTACTCGAAAGGCTGAGGTGGAAGGATCACCTGAGCCCACCAGGTTGAGGTTGCAGTAGCCCTGAACATGCCACTCCACTCCAGCCTGGGTAGCAGAATGAGATTCCGACTCAAAAAAAAAAAAAAGCCAAATAGGACTTATTCAACATTATTACCACTAAAATGTATTGAGATTTCTAGACTTTTACTCTTCTATATGCTTTCTAAATTCTACTTGTCACACTTTTTAAAGATGAGGATGAGTATTTAATTACAAAATGAGAACACTGGGTAAAACAAGACTTTAAAGCTGTAAATCAGCTGACTAGAACTAATTTTCTGAACAACAATAACTCTGCTACACTTTGGATGGCCATTACTAGATCTTACTGGCCTTTTTTTTTGAGTCAGAGCCTCACTCTGTCGCCTAGGCTGGAGTGCAGTGGCATGCTCAGGGCCACCTCAGCCTCAACTTGCTGGGCTCAAGCAATCCTTTGCTTCAGCCTTCCAAGTAGCTGGAATTACAGGCATGTGCCACCACGCCCGGTTAATTTTTTTTCTTTATTGTAGATACAAGGTCTCGCCATGTTGTCCAGGTTGGTCTAGAACCCATGGGCTCAGGCAATTCTCTCACCTCAACCCAAAGTGCTGGAATTACAGGCATGAGCCACTGTGCCCAGCCAGATCTTACTGTTTTAATGCTAAGAGAAAGCAGTAGATTAAAGAGTTTTACCAGGATATTTTTGACTGTGGTAAAATATTCATAATATTTACAATTTTCATCATTTGTAAGTGTACAGTTCAGTGGCATTAAATAAATTCACAATGTTGTGTAACCATTGCCACTATCTATAACCAAAACTTTTTCATCATACACACAAAAACTCTGTATCTATTAAAAAATAACTCCCTCAGCTGGTCACAGTGACTCATGCCTGTAAACCCAGAACTTTGGGAGGCTAAGGTGGGAGGACTGCTTGAGCCCAGGAATTCTAGACCAGCCTAGACAACATAGCAAGACCTTATCTTCACAAAAAAAATTTTTTTAATTAGCTGGCACGGTGGCACATGCTTGTAGTCCCAGCTACTCAGGAGGCTGAGGTGGGAGGATGACCAGAGCCCAGGAGGTCAAAGTTGCAGTGAGCCATGATGGTCTCCTGGCTTCTGGCAACAGAGTGAGACTCTCAGCTCAAAAAAGCAAACAAAACCTCCCATTCCTCACTTCCTCCCAGCCCCGAGGTAACTGCTCTTCTACTTTCTGTCTCTGTAAATTGACCTACTCTAGGTAGCTCACGTAAATGGAATCATAATATTTGTCTATCTCTGCCTGGATTATTTCATTTCTCATAATCTTTTCAAGGTCCATCATGTTGTAGTATATATCACAATTTCCTTCCATTTGATGGCTAAATCATCGTTAATTACATGGCTATAGCACAATCTGCCCAATCATATGTTGATGGACACTTTGGTTGTTTGTACTTTTTGGCTATTGAGACTAGTACTGCTATGCACATGGCTTACAAGTATCTCTTCCAGTTCCAGGTTTTATTTTTTTTTGGATATATATCTAGGAGCAGTACTACTGGGTCATATGGTGTCTAGTAGGGTTGTTTTTTTTTTTAACTAATATTAATATCTTAGTGTATTTCTAGTGGGGACTTAAACAAGTATCTCCATCTCTTTTTTTTTTTTTGAAGTCATTGCCCAGGTAGGTGTGCAGTGGCATCGACCTGCTGGACTCCGGCGATCGTTCTGCCTTAGTCTTCCAAGTAGCCAGAACTACCGGTGCACACTACCATGCACGGCTAATTTTTGATTTATTGTAGAGATGAGGTCTTGTCAAGTTGCATGGGCTGGTCTTGAACCCGCGGGCTCAGGCAATCCACTCGCCTCGGCCTCCCAAAATGCTGGGATTACAGGCTGAGCCACCGAACCTGGCCTCCATCTCATTTTCTAAGACACGTGGAAGGAAGATATGTCAAATATCTTTCTTTGAGACAGTCGCATACATTTCAACTACAAGAAAACCAAGCAGAAGTGGAGATGGGATTCAACCAGGTTCTTCCTATCTTTTGTGACTCTACGTCATTCTTGATTTTTAAATGTTATTCAAAAAGCAAACTTTGAAAACATGAGGATCAGGGAGCAAACTTTATTTTTAATCCAGAGAAACTGTAATATGGATCGTGAAGAGGGCCGGGCTGTGCCTGCACTGGAGGTACTCTGAGCATCCCTGCTCCCCCTTCACCCTCACCTGTGCTGCCCAAGGCTCTATGAACTTAACTCTCCTAAGCTCAGGGAACCCGGCATGAAGTGGCCTTCCCTGGCTCATAGGTCATCATATGGACCCCCCTTTCTAGTCACAAGGCTTCTGACCTTTTTGTAAGACCATCTGCTCACTGGGATGGGAGCAGAGAACACTGTCAGAGGCACAGGAGGAAAGGGATCTTGGCTCTTAAAGTCCATCTCTCCTCTGTTACTTCCGCCCTTGGTGATACACTTTCCAAGAACAGACTAGAAACTGTAATTGTCACAGATCTACTTTGTGGAACTGACTGTTACTCTGTTGAGGCCCACTGAAGGTGTGAATGAAGAAATGCTGACACAGTCTTACCAGCCAGGGCAAGGAGGCCTCCAATCACTCTTAGGAAGACGAGCATCTGCGGCCCACAGAGGGCAAAGAAGGAGAGGATGAAACAGATGACCAGGATGATGAAGCCGCAGAAGAGCATGGCAGCGGCTGCTCTTCCCCACGCTGCAGGAACCAAAGAAACAGGAATTAACAAGACAGACATGCCACGCTGAAAAATGACTATTATGCATCGATAGGGCTTGGAGGCTTTTTTCCCTACTGGTTATATTTGGGTGAAGGGGCAATGTTTCTTTCTACAATACTTGAGCATCCCCATATTTCAAGAGAAGAACAGACAATTCATAGGTAGCTGATTGTTCAAATCTCCTCACGCATAACCCTTCTTCTGGAGGTCATAACCAATGTTTAGAATGTGCATCAGCTCACTGAATACTCACAACAACTGCTTACGATTAACACTGCCATCGTTTCTATTTAGAAATAAAGATACGCTTAGGCTTTGAGAGTCCAAATAACCTGCCCATAGCCACAGAGCTAGTGAGTGGTTTAGACAGAGTTTTGATTTCCAGTCCGTCTGAATCCAAAACATGACCTTTCTTTGAGATATATCATTTACTTACCAGAAAACTCACCCTTTTAAATTGTACAATTTAGTGGTTTTTTTTTAAACCATAGTCACAGGGTTGTGACTATAGCTAGCAATTCCAGAAATATTTTCATAACCCCCAAAAGACACCCTGTGCCTATCAGAAGTCACTCCCTATTTTCTCCTTCCTCCAGCTTCTGGTAATGACGAATCTATTTTCCATCTCCATAAATTTGCTGATGGTGAGCCAGGCGAGGTGGTGCATGCCTATAGTTCCAGCTACCTAGAAGGTTGAGGTGGAAGGATCGCCTAACCCCAGGAGGTCAAGGCTATTGTAGTTGTGAGCATGCCACTGCACTCTACCCTGGGCAACAGAATGAGACTTGGACTCAATCAATCGATAGATCAATCTCCTTTTCAATTTGTTGATTTCATTTCATACAAATACAAAAAAAATTTTCATACAAATACAAAAAAAGTGAAATCTCATTTCATACAAATGGAATCCTACACCATGTGGCCTTTTGTGGCTGGGTTCTTTCACTGAGTATAATACAACATGGGTCATCATGTTATAGCATGAGTCAGTACTTCATTCTTTTTTTTTTTTTTTTGAGTAGAATCTCACTCTGTCACCCAGGCTAGAGTGCAGTGGCATGCTCACAGCCACCACAGCCTAGACCTGCTGGGCTCAGGTGATCCTTCTGCCCAAGTCTTCCATGTAGCTGAAACCACAGGCATGTGCCACCATGCCTGGCTGATTTTTTTATTTTTATTGTAGAGACGAGGTCTCACCAAGTTGCTCAGGTAGTCCTCGAACCCCTGAGCTCAGGTAATCCTCTGGCCTTCGCCTCCCAAAATGCTGGGATTACAGATGTGAGCCATGGCACCCAGCACTACATTCTTCTTTATGGTCAGATAATATTCTATGGTATGGATATCCCGCCTTGTGTTTACCCATTTCTTCCTTCACGGAAGAACATGCACACTTAACCCATTAGTCTTTATTGCATTTGAAAAGGAGAGTCATGACTCATGTGTCCTCAGCCCTGCTGTTACTCTTAGTCTCAACACAGCAGGGAGGACAAGCTTCACTGTCACTTAATTCTAGGTCATTGGACTGGTCAACGCAAAGCAAAGATATGAGCTTTGGAGCTGGCTGAATCTCGTTTCTACCCTGCCTCAGCTGCCATTAATCACACGCCAGTTTCTGCATCTGTTAACCAAGGCTAAAAATGCCAACTGCAGGACGATAATGAGGATGTGGGCTCCTGTGCGAAAAGTATCTGTTGTTAACCTTCCAGCCCCCACTGCACAAAAAGTCCCTCCAGTGTCCCTGTGACTTTTCTCCAGGACCCCACATTTTCATTTTCTTTTACATTCGTAAGGTTCTCTGCACCACCCCATAAAGGTTGTTCCCGTGATCCAATGCATTTTCATCTCTTCATCTGTTGTAGACAAACCTGAGCTAAGGTTCCTGTTTCCCATCTCCAGCTCCCATGCTCCCTCCAGCACTTCCTCTAGATTCATGAATGACTGGGGCATAATAGATTGCCAAGGAGGAGAAACATGTTTATACTCTCAGACAAAAACATTTTCACACAAATTACTCCTTAGTAGCACTGGTCAGGATGAGTGGGCTGAGATCCTGGCACCTGATGGGGCCTAGTTTTCTATTGACAGTTTTATTACTTTCCTCCAAATCTTCTGGCTCCTCCTGTCTGACCAACGAGAGATTTTAGGGATAAGGTAAAATGGGACTGTTTTATTTTAAAATAGAAATGAACAAAGCCAAAATGTGAAATGTATCAAGGCTTTTTTCTCACTTGTGCCTTGTCCTTCAAGTAAGGTAACTTTTAAGAGAAGAGGGACCATGCTTTGGAAAGAACATTAATCAGAACTTCTTAAAATAAAGTCCATAGAACACGATGTCAAAATGAGCAGTAGTGCTTATTAAAAATATGTCGATTCCTGTGCCTTCCTCGGCCTACTGAATCAGAACCTGAGGGGTTGTAACCAGAATTTACATTTCAGTAGCATTTCTTATATCCGTACCTAAGTTGGAGAACTAAGATAGATTCCTTATAAAACTACCATAAGGAGCATATATAACTTTCACTGTGTGATTCCTCACTGTCCATTTCTACAGATTTTTAAGGCCCATAAAACTGACAACCATTCAGTTCAATGAAATCCAATCACTAAAGTCAAATAAACACAAACTTATTTTTTCTTTTATGAGCTCACAAGTTGGAATCTATGCAGTGAAAGGCAACGTATCCATATACATATATAGAGAAATGCCACAAATGAAAACAAACTACATAGCTGGGTATGAATTTTCAATAAAAACAAGAAACACTTGGACAACTCCCTCAGGTCCTCTCCCACTGTGGGAGCTTTTCTGTCCTCTTAACAAACCCTGCTTTCAAAAAATAAATAAGTACAATACTGTTTTCTAAAAAAAAAAAAGCAAAAAAAAACAGGAAAAACTCTCTAACAAGGAACAGAGACTGATAACCAAACTTTTACAATCACAGACTAAGGTTTCAGAAGTCTAGCAAAGTAAATTGCACATAATTTCTGTAAAGAGTAATACTAATAGTTTTACCTATTTATTGAGAAAAATTAACACCAACAGATTATTATTATTACTTCATCGACCATTATAGTTGTAGTATAATTTATGCTTAGTTTCAGATATTTGGAAGGAATTAAATAAAAGCAGTGGTAAGTCAATTCCCCTAACCTAAAACCAACGGATTAACATAAATATAAAGACAGATCATTTTAAGAACTTTTCCTACGCTATTTAAAAACAACTCAGTTGGCCAGGCACAGTGGCTCAAGCTTGTAACCCCACTACTTTGGGAGGCTGAGGCAAGAGGATTGCCTAAGCCCAAGGGTTCGAGACCAGGTTGAGCAACATGGCGAAATCTCACCTCTACAGTACATCAAAAAATTAGCCAGGCATGGTAGCACGTGCCTCTAGTTCCAGCTAGTTGGAAGGCTAAGGCAGAAGGATCGCCGGAGCCCAGCAGGTCGAG